CACCCCAACAGCCTTTTCGGAATGATGTAGCTACAAAGTGATTCCGTGCTATAGCGGGCAACGCAATGCACCTCAGGGGCTTCGATCCCGCCCCACTCCTTCCCATCCCACCGGGCTGCGCCCCGCCCAGCGCGGGACGCCGCGTCATCAGCCGGCATTAACGGGACCCGCAATCACGGGCCCCGAGGGCGACAAAGTGTTGAATGCGCGCGGTCGCTGTGGGGCAGGCTTAGAGGCGCTCCCGTGGCGCGCGACCCGCACTCCGCCCCCGCCCCACGGCTCGCTGTGGCCGGCGGCCGAGGAGGCAGGCGTGGAGGAGGGGGAAGAGGGGGGGATGAAGGAGGGGACCGAATAGAGGAAAAGGTGGTGGATAAGAGAAAGAAGGGAGGGTGAGGAGTGGTGGAGGTGGGGAGGGGCGGAGGGAAGGAGATGGAGGAGGGGTGGTGGGAAGAGGAGGGATGAAGAACGAGGGGGCGGAAGGGAGGAAAAAAGGGGGAGGGCAAGGAGAAAGAGAGGAGGATGAGGAGGAGAAGGAGGAGGGGAGGAGGAGTCCTCGGCGGCCGAGCCCTGCCGGCTGGCAGCGCTGCAATCCATATCCTTAAATTACGACGCACATTTTAAAACGGAACGCCGCAATCTACGAGCGGGGCCCGCGTAATATTGTGTCAGGTCTGAAACATGGCGATCGTTTTGCGATATCATAAACCTGTCATGGACGAGCGCTAGGCACTCGCTCGAAGCAGCGAGGGGAGTGGAACGAGTGGGGTGAGGAGGAGCGGGAAGGCGGCAACGACCGATGAGAAGAGGCTGTGCGGTGGAGAAGAGAGGGATTATAGGAGATGTGGCGATGTGGATAGACGGGTTACAGAAACGGAAGCTACATACAGTGAGCCGAGGGGGTGAATAGATCAGATACCTAGAATGAAATTGAACACGTTTGGCAGAAGACGAAGCGTCAAGTTTTTGGAGTGTTGCTGGTGAAGTGTTTGCGAGGGGCGTGTTCGAGTGGAAACGAGTGAAATCGAAAGTGGGATGATGTTGGACAGAGTGAGCTGGTCGCGCAAGTAAGGTTGTCTCTTGGACCGAGCGTGAAGTTTAAGAGCGCCGAGGAGGAGAGGGAACCAAGTGGGGTCGAGGGAGTGCGAGGTGAAGCCGGCGGCCACCAGAGCGCCGGGGCCGGCGATGAATTCTGGGGAACTGATGCTGGAGCGAGGGTCGGAGCTGTCTGCTTTTATTGCGCGTGGATTGACAAGCGTCCGGCTCGGTCGTAACTCTGGGTGGCGGCGGCGGCGGCGTTTCCTGGCGCTTGGCGCTCGCCTGCGCGGCCGCCGCCGCCGTCACAAGTGTGTGGGGCGCGAGCCGTCGCCCGTCGTCTGTTACCCCTGTCACCCCTTTCGCTCCAGTCGCGCGTCACCGCCGCCTGGCGGACGCTGCTGTCCCCGGGGACCTGATGCCGCCTCCTGTCTCGCTACCGGCTCCCACCCGCGTTCGACGCAGAGCGCTTCTCGGAATTACTTGTCGACGTAAGAGCCTCCTTCGCTGTTCGCTCGCAGCGAAGCCTTTCTCGGAAACAGACGTAGGGGACTTCTCTGAACTTTTGTACGTTGAGCAGTGAAACTCGGCAGCACAATGTTCGGCTAATGTGACGTAATGAAGATCAGCTCTGCAATATGTGTCCTGTCTCCATAACGTTTATGAAGAACGCTTGCTGTGGCTTCTAGCTTGCTTGGCTTGCTGTGGCTTCTAGCACAGCATTGGGGGAAGGATAGCTATATTCCGGAGTCAAAACGCCGGAGGTAGAAGCTGTCGTCCCAGCCACTAATTCCGTCCCCCGCGCGATCTCCGCATCTAAGGACTATTGCTTCACAACGGCGACGCGCATCTCTTATTTACACTTCATTAGACAGCAGACAACAGTGAGTGACACGTCGACTTGAGGTTCTCTTCCCACTCTCAGGTAACTCTCCCAGCGAGAGGACTATCCGGGACAAGCATTACGCTTCCGACTAGTCTCCTGAAACTTGTGGGAGTGTTCTTCTCCAGACAGTTTGAATTTGATCTAGATCTCAAGCTACTGTCGACAATCCACCGCCATTGCGACTCGAACCACGAAACTTCCCGTTCAACAATGCTACAGAGGCAAGTATTGCCGCTGAGCTATCGCAAGCGATTTGACAACAGTGGTAATCACAACTATAGAGAAAAAGAAACTACAGAGGACTTTCTGAAATTCTTTTAATGAAAAATTATTTTTTTTTGCCAATAATTAGACAAGTTCGATTAACATAACGGACGTTTCCCATGAATCTTTATCTTCGTATTATGTGTCATAGTTACAGTGTCAACATTAATATGGAGTGTATGATGTTTACATAAAGTTGCTATTGTATCCCTTCCCACAAATGTTTATTTTCACAATCTCCTGAGTTTCTAATTTAATTTTTTCTGTGAACCCTAACCGAATATTCGGTGCGAAACTACGAGGCGGAATAAGAAACTCTGTGGAATTTGTAGCATAGTAAAATAAAGTTTCTATCTACCGTAAATCAGGATTACTTTGTGACTGCAAAGATAACTTCCTGACAAATTAAGAATTTTTCTTATTTCAAATCTCGCATCACACATCTGCGGCCAGACGGGCAACCTATCATCGCTACCGCTTGTCTAAAAGAAACAGTCATAAAACCGAATTGTCTATACGAGACCCTGCATAATAGAAAATTCGAGGCTTTGCCAAAGTGTAAACCAAAGATTTTGAGTATTTTGTTCATGAAGAAGGGTTACTAAATGACAAAAAACATTGTACTGTAAATAAACACTATGTACGTTAACTTTATGACATAAACTGTTCTCGTGCATTTCAGAGCAAAACAAGGAAACTTAATTGGTGACAATTTTAACCTAAGTTTCTATGAAATTATTAAATATTTCGATGCTTAGAATAAATCATTATTTAGAAAAGAAGCTGACCTACATTTTTCAATTCGTCTTTTGACCTTAAAATAAATACTGATTGGCCACTGTGGAGAGTAAACGCAAAATCCGTCACAAAGCAACCCCATTTTACGGTATTTACCTCATGAGAAATAGTAATTTAAAGTTTGAGGAGCAGTTTGGCAATTACGCAGCGTTGTAAAACAAGTTTGATTACTTTTCGCACACATCAACTTTCAATAAACCAGCCTATTTCCATTCACGCCCCCAAACACTAAAATGAGTGGTTGCAGATTTTTTAATTTTTTCTTCTCTTTAGAAACAAATATCGATAAATGGATACTTGGGAACTTTACCCATATGTTACAGACAGACATCATTTTCTTAAAGATCTACACGTTGCTTTGCTTTTGTATATAAAATGAAATAGCTTAGAGAAGCGATACAAGAGTACCTTTCCCTTCTTTATCCGGCCCAACTATTACATGTGCGGAACTTGCATCAAAACATTTTAATAATTGACATTAAAATATATTAATTAATTTCAAACTATCTTATAGGACAGTCATTCCGTAACACACACGGTGCTTCCTGTACATGTTTTTTATGAAAATTCGTAAAATAAGGATATATAAACGCACATCCATAAAAATCGAGGGCCGCCAGTGTTAGGTGTAAAAACTCGCGAGAACCAGTGCACTTGTTTCCATTAAAGAATACTACGTACCATTAATGAAATACCGTTATTTATGTTTGGTTGTTTAAAGTAATTTTATATATTAGCATGGGAAGCAGAGTATTTTCAAATAATATTTTCTGTATTTCTTGAGTTTTGCGAACCAAAAACGTCCTGTCTTGAATTATTTGCAATGCGCAACGACTTCACCTCTTTTTTATGACATGTCTTTCACCAAGTGGGCTTGATATTAATAGCTTCGATGTTACCGTTACTTTACTAGCATTACTACAACCATATGTCGTCTGGCATATCACCAAAATATATTGCTTAAAATTAATAGAACAAAATTAAACTACTCATATTTTCAAATTCAATTTGGTAAAATACGTTTAGCTTTGAATACCAAGACAAAACCAATTGGCTCGCGAACAAACGCACAACATAATTTACTTCTGCAGCAATGCTATCTCATTGCTCAACCAGGAATATTCAAATGCTGTGTAATTCGTTCAAAAAATCTCATGTTACGATGGAAACACGTATCTAATAATGAGACTTGCAGGTTTCATATTCACCCTCTGTCATTTACACATACCGCATTTCTGTATGTTTGAAATGATTACTAAGTTGTAGATTTTGACACTGCTTGAAATGAAATTTTATTTAAATCATATCGGAGGCTTAATTTGATTGGCTTAGAAAATATAACAATGCCCATATTAAAAGAGCGTTTTAAACAAAATCAAATTAACGTGTGTAAGAGAGTGACAATGTAAGAGAGTGAGAATAAAAAGAGTAACTTGCCTCAAATTAAAGTCAAAGTAATCAGCTCCTGATCATGCCAAAATCTTAACAATATTGTTTTTACTCAAATGTCTTTTTTTATTAAATTTCTTGTTAGTGAGGTCATTAAAGTTAGAAAATTGCATTATTGAGATGTGATAATTCTGACGATTATTAAAAAGTAATCTCCACTTTCATGCCCTTTTCACTCTCTAAAATTGATACATTAAAGGGGAAATAAATGGGATAAAGAAAGTAATAAAAGAATAATGAATGAAATAAATAATTAAAGAGGTACGAGGTGATCTATTTTGCATTGAATTATGTTTGAGACAAAGTAGAAATTAATTTTGTAGGTTCGTCTCGCTTTTGTTTGTATCTCTTATATTGTTTCCAATCCCAATTGCATTTGTACTTTCACGCCTTACTTTGTAAGAAGATAAAGTATTGTAATCGTGTGCCGGAAATCGGCGATTTTTTGACGGAAAAACTTTCATTGCGTGCCCTAGTAACGAAAAAGTAAATAAATATTGTTGCTAGTAATATATACCAGAGCCTTTTATAGTTTGCTTGTATAAGATTGACGTATGGAATTCATGCTCACCTTAGTGTCAGGTGATGCTACAACAGCGCCGCAATTCCCGCAGCTGTAGCTGTGACACTCGACACACTCCTGTCCAGGTGCGCTGGCCTGTGAACAATGGGAAACTCGCTCAACATCGGAATAACTTATTGTATAAGTTTACTTCCTATCTAAGCCCTGTATTTGTGCTTGAAAAGAGTCGTTATATTGATATCGTTTCATTTAAAGATAGTTTGTTCATCAGGGCAAGATCCTAATAAAAATGTATGATAATGAAACTACTATTTGATGTACGAATTTTCAATACAGAAAGTATTCAGTGGTTCGTGCGGTCATTACTATAATGTATACTTTTTACAACGAAACTCAAGTGACTCTTTACAACGAAACTGATGTGATCGAATTATTTTTGCTATGGAGAGATAATTTTAATGTTGAAAGAGTTTAGCTATGCATGAGTAGTAAGGTAAACTAATTAAACAAATAATTGTCTAGTGCACAAAGTATTTTTTGATCAAATATTTTGTTATACTGAATAGTTTACTGTAACACTCTACTCGCATTTCCATTAGTGAATGTTTTTCAATTAGTGTTTAGGTGAAGTACAAGGTAAAAATACTACAATTGGTGGTTACCACTGAAATATTGTACTTATTCGAGAAAGAGAACAAAAATGTAGCTAAGCTAAATATATTTTTGTAGTATTTCATTACTGTGTTATTATAGAATTAACTTCGTAATGTAATATCATTCATTTTATAACGTGAGTGATATTACATTGTTCAGCCTTCAACACTTCCAGATGTAAGCTAGGAACACTATAGAACATAATAACACAATTACACAGACAATAGCACTGTTTAATATCGGTGATGGAGGAACCTCAACCCAGCACACCTATAAATGAATGAATGTTTTCTGAGATTTACATTACGCGTGAAAACGAAGTAGTACAAGTAATGATTTTTAAGTCCCAGAGATGGGTATTTATGAGGCCTGCTTGGAAACGTAGAATGTCGAGAACGTATTGCTTCAAAAGGAAAGGAGTTATGAGACGGGAAGTGTATGGATTTTGAATAGTAGATATTTTAAAGTTGATGGTGGGAGTTTATAAGACAACACTAATTTGATTATGTGGAGTTTTCATATATGGTAGAAGTGGCATTGTATCAGTCCGAGCAAACATACTCATACAGTATTGGAAGTTACAAGGTGTTTTTATAGACAGATGCATACTCGTATGATAGGAAGAGAAGAACAACGATTTATTACGGGGCGAAGTTGCAGTAATTTTTGATTTGTTTGAGCTTGAAAACTACACGGTCTTTTCACCTTTGATGAGAGTTCTGGTGTATTGAATGTATAGTGGAGATTCCGACGTTCGTTTAGTGTTAACCCGTGGATAGGTTGGGATCTTATTGCAAATATTTTATCTTTTGATGTTGATGAATATTGCACGATTTCGCACTTTTTAGTAGATTTATTGGTAAAGTACTATTTCTTGGGTGGTAAGAATTCCGATGGTATGATATTCTGAAGATAGATCTTCGACGAAGACTAGGAATAGGTTAGGAGAATGGGTCATCCATGACGGACTCTGGTTCTTATTTTCCGTTAGCTAGAGACAAACCTGAATATTCTTACTGAAAGAGATGTGTTATCCAAAACGTGTGTTATTTCATTCTGAGAGTGCTATAGAAGACCCATTTTTAGTTTTCCTAGACTATACGTACTACACAGGAAAAGTATTGGGAAAGTATTGGGATTTCTCCAAAAATTAGATTAAATGTTGAGAATTCTATGTATGGAAGAATGTGTGGATGGATATATGTGTGTATGACGCAAAACTCAGGCATATTAGAAGCTTATATGCTCTAAGTTAGTACACACAGCAGGAGTAACAACGTTTATTGTCGTACCAAGAGTATTAATATGATGAGGAGATAATGCAATTATACAAAAAACAGAGAAGAAATCGTAGAAATGGCCACTTAATCCTCAGGCAAGGAAGCTGGAACAATAGCAGAAAGCATTATGCCAGCCCCTCTCGTCCCAGTTCCTTACACTCACATCCCCTGTTTCATACGACTTACTCGAGAACAATTGGACGGGAAACTAATACTACGTTTTAAATTGAAAGGGTGAAAACAATCAAATTCTCCGGTTTTACTTAACATACTATAGCGGAAATGTGGGATTGGCCGTTATGCACATCGATCTGTCTACAGTTCCTACCAGAAGAGAAAGATATGCTATTTTTTAAATAAAACCTACAAAAACATTAAATTTGTCAGTTTTACCAAACCTACGAAAGTGGGGGTAGTGGGATTTGCCGACCGGCAAGTTTACAATACTATTTTGCTTGCAAAATTACTACGATTCTTCGAAATCAGTACAATATTCCAATTCTGCATTTCCCAAGACAAGGAAACGTTTCGTTATAGTACACATCTCATTTAATATGTACAAACTGAAGTTCATGGTGATGCCTGGAAATTTATCATAGGTAATACCACAAGTGCTTTGGAAAATGTCGATAAATCCCCGACTCGCGAATCGAGAAAGGGACTTATCTGAGAATTTCCAAAGCACGAGTAATATTTAAGGACTATTTCACGAGCAAAATTATGTCCAACTGAGTTCCAAAATGCGCTAAATATTAAAAATATCTTAAAGCGTAAGTTAAAATCAGAGGTTCTGTTGTAGTATATACGCTGTTTTTAGGACATCGACTTATCCATTGGTGTATAATGAGTTCTAAGATAGAGGAGTCACGGTTTATGATTGACCAGTAGGTAGAAGAGGTAAGAAAAATCGGATAGAAAAAGCGACAAACTTTTCGAGATATACCGCCGTGTTTGGGGCATTTTGTACGTATAGTTAAACAATATTGGTTTTAATTCCACTAGTGGAATAGTTACAATAATCTAATAGATAAGAAAAAATGAATTATCTGTATAGTGTATAATAGAAGTAATTTTATTTACATCCCCCCCACGTTCCCCTCCCCTCTGCTTATTCCCGTACCGTCCGACCTAACACCACACCTTACCACCCCGCTTCTCTCTTCTACCACTTTCTGCTCCGCTCCGCTCCCGTGACGCACACTCCAGAAAGCTCCACCCTCCCAGGTCACGCGCCCTTCCGCTCCAAACAGCGCCACCCCCTTTCCTCATCCACCCCACTCTGACGCCTCAACCTTTGCACCACGCTCCGTCATGCCTCACCGACCCGATCTTACCCCTACCCATTCCGCTACAACGCAATCACTGAATTTGCTGAATATTTAATGCATAGCAGTGCTACAACAGCATTTTCTTGCATTGTTACTAAATATGCAAAATGTTGAAAATTTTGAAAATATTCTCAAAGCTCAATGAAAGATGCTCCCCTTTATTTTAAGCATCCCTTTTTCTACCCTTGGAAAAAATGTAAAGAAGAAATTGGAGCTGGTTTTGTGAAAAAATGTTTAAAATTTCTTAAGTTGCTGATATTTCACGCAAATTTACACGAAAAATAGTCATGTTTTCGAAACATTGTACTTGAACTTATCTAAAGATATGTATTTAGGGAACAAATTTTATTTAGGGAAACAATTCTTTCAATATTATAGTTGTAGGAAGACGCCCTAAAAAATTGCGCTTTCGCAATTTTCAAAAATTAAGGGGGTTCAACAAACATGAGACCTGAACTATTCTCTTAAGCGTTCTTTACTCTATCCAAAGACATTAGTTGATTAAAAAATTAGGTGCCATTTTTGAGAACATTTTAAAATTATTTTTAAGGCTCTCAAAAATCAAAATATCAATTTGAAATTCTCAAAGCCTTGAGGTCATTCAGATTGATTACGAAATATCAATTTTGTTGAAAGCCAGGCAGAGGACAGATAGAAGACAGACAGACGGTCCGACAGACAAACGGACTGACAGACACCCTGACAGGCGGACACCGACAGACGGACGGATAGACAGATGGACAGACTGAAATTTTGCCGTCAAGCTATTTTTCGGCACCAAGGCTAGAACACGTGTTAGAGAAATATATCACTATTTATATATTTACGTCAAAAACAGTTAAAACTGTGTGTGACGTGCTATGGGGAGACGTTACTTTGAAATTACATTTATGTCCAGAAGTAATACAAGGGGCAATTTCAGCATATACTCAAGGATCATGGAAACTGGATGAAAACCTAATTGAGATGTGGTCATTGACTCAGAAGCTGAAGTAAAATACTCGTTACACGTTCTTTAGAATTATACAATCCAAATGGTAAATAATACATTAATTGTCAATGTTAAAATTAATATTACTTTCCTTTTGGCTGCGCGGTATAGTCTGTAATTGTATAGATACAGTTGTGCAGCAGAACAGATTTTACTTTTGACTTAAACTTTTGTATCGAATTTAATCGTTTAATGTCATGTGACAAGGTGTTGTAAAAGAATATACATGTATTGTATGTGAATTTTTTGTAGTGAGTTGTTGATACTGTCACCTGATGAATATGATTACTACATCAAGTGTTGTAGTTATAGACATTAGCGTTTGCTGAAAATATATTTTCTCCCCTAAATAACACATTTTTGACAAAAAACACTGACTCATATATCAAAAGACAAGGTAATGGTAAGATACCTAGATTGATAAAGAGAGGCTTACAAGAATCACGCGGGTGAAATTTGCTGATTATTCGCACTATTCGTTTTTGTAATCTAAAAGTCTGGGATCTATAAGATGTATTTCCCCAGAATATTATGCCATATCTCTGACGGGAATGAACGTTCGCGAAATATACGCAACGAGCAATGTGGAGGCTGACTGAATTTAAAAGAATTCTGAAAGCGTAGCATAAAGAATTTGGTGTCAATTCATTTATATGGACGTTCCAATTAAGGTTTGACTGAATTGAAAGACCTAACAATTTTGTTACCTTAACATCAGTCAATATCACACCGTTCATTGTCAATGGAGTACAGAGCTATTTATTGGAAATGTAAAACTGCAATAAAACCGTTTTCTTTTCCGTTACTATTAACTTGGAACTAATATTAACTACTATTAATTTGGAATTATTATTAATGGAACCAATTAGAAATATCTCATATTGTACTATGTACGTTTTTTTATTGCAAAGAATATTTGCATCATCCGCAAAGAGAACTGTTCTTCTGTTTCTAATCGTCGAGGTCATATCGTTAACGTATCGCAGGAAGAGAAGAGGGCCTAAAATCGTACCCTGCGGGATTCCACAAGCAATTGGCAAAGAATCGGAGAGGTATGTTCCATTATTTCAGTATGGTCTCTGAGATCGTTGTTTAATGTACGAACATAACCAATATAGGCAACACCAATAATTCCATATGAAGGTAATTTGAAAGTAAATTGTTACGATCAATGACGTCAAACCTTTTGAAAGATCTAAAAATATTCCAATAGGTGCTTCGTTTTGTTTCATGGATGAGGCGACATCTTTAAGAAAAGAAAATATGCCTGTTTCCGTACCTTTTGATTTTCGAAACCCATGTTGGCATTCTGAAAACGCGTCGTGTTTACTAAGAAATGTTTTTATTGGTACGTTTAAAAGTCTAATATTTTTGAAAGATACATTGGACGACAAAAGAGATATTGGCCGATAATTTTGAAATTCATTTTTGTGTCCTTTTTTGAAAAGCGGCTTAATTCTAGCTGTTTTAATAATATCTAGAAAAATTTCTGTGCACAAGGTTACATTAAATATGTGAGTTAGCGGGTGTATAATGGGAATTTAAACAAATCTTATTTCAATAAAGCGAAGAGAATTTCATGGCAACATTTTGAATCACGAAAACCCCTATGATTCTTCTCGACCGCTATAAATCGTACGTTTAAAATTTGAAATGGATCCATGCGTTTTAGAGTTGGGTTGGAAAAGTGCCAAACTCGGTCAAGTATTTGGGCGACGCCAATAAATGGTGCTATGGATGATCAACTAGTTGAAATCCTGAGTAAATATACCCTTCATCTAAGTAATTACTATGTTTGAGCATGATTTTCAGAGCATGCAAATTCGAGGTACTATTTTTATTTTGAAAGATTTTAACCTTTTAAAAACAGCTCTCTATTATGTTTTTGATTATTCGAAAATAAGATATATGGGACTAAAGTTGGTAGTGTAAGAGGATATTCTGTTCGTAAAATTGCATTGTTGAAGATTGAAAGGGATGTTCTTGCAATTTTTTAGCGGAGTCAAAACAATTTTATGGCCTCCCGTGCTTTTGTTGCATGGCATCGATCTTATCATCCAGTAAAACTCTGATGGGGAAGTAAAGTTTATTGAAATTCGAGGAGCAGGATGAAGGAATTTTATTTTTACGTAATATTCTTTTATATAAGCTTTTATAGAGGAGCATTGGAGAGCTAAATGGAAATAAATCGGCAAGTACTTCCGATTTTCCTTTGGAAAAGTCGTAATTGTACCTACCTAACGTCAGTGGTAGGATATTTAACTTTAACGTGTAACTAATACAAACGTCTTGTAGATTTCTATTAGCAATACTTCAGGACAGATAGCCACAGAGTAGTGTTTGTAAGAATTGGTGTTCTTGAAGAAGTTCTGTTGTTGTTCTAAAAAAGGTGTTAAGTGTTTTAATATCATTTTTAACCCAGGAAGACCAAGTGTGTTCGGTTTTATTTATTCTACGGCTTCAATGCCCACGCTTACAATACCGACCTTTTCTGACAATTCATTTAAGATCCTTTGTCTTTGGACCCTGAAAATCACGTTTCTGCTTATGTCCAACAACTGTCCAACAATGCCCCAAATTGATTAAATTTGGCTCAGAACGTACTACCAGGGTGTGTTGAAATAGAGTATCTGGTGTTATTATTCGAACGAACATTTCATACACGAATAACCGTGTAATGTAGTTATCGTGTCGTCACCCGTTCTGGACAAGATAAAAATAGTTGCCTTGAACCTTGAATAAATCCTTCTAAAAAATGGGTTCATATCACATCGACGATGTACAAGAAAAATGACGCACTTAAACATATTCATTTTCCATAAGAACGGATTTATTTGGACATTTACTTCACGTGCAAAAGTATTTGCAATATATAGCGATTGTCTAGTGAACTATTTTCATGTTTTTACTGAAAAAAAACTTTAGAAACGCATTTATTTTCTTACCTGAAAAATGATGATTTTTGAGATGTGTCTTTTTCTGATTTTCCTACCATGTATACTTTATTCAAAATATTAAACAATTCGAATAAAACTTCGAATAAAATTATATAATTTTGAGATATAAAAAAATCAAAATATTCAATGAAGGGGGCATGTGCCCATGTACTGTTTTAATATCATTGTGCAGTTGTTGAAATTAAATAGTGCACGCTATACCTCACATTTATGTTATTCCTGAAACTTCAGTAGAGACTTGTATGACTTCATCACATTTTGCTTCATTCTCAACTATGATATTTGAGAACTTGCAAATGTCAATTCTTTTGAATGTCAACGCGCATTGTGTCCGAATTCCGTATCGACCTGAATTATATTTTCTTCCAACAGAGTGTGCGGCTCCTTATTTCTCCTCTCAGAAAGGAAGTCTCCAAGAATACGTAGTATATATACAAATAGTATGCTTAAAGCGGGCCTATCCGTTACAACGTTCGCTGGTTTGTGAATGATGTCTTACTCCAATCTTTCCTTTTTAGTGCGCTTGCAGTTTCTGTAGAACGTATGTAATAGTAATTGCGAAGAAACTAAACAACGTGCTTACACATAAATTCGCGATCTTAAGAAACTGTGAAAAATTTGGACATTTTGTGTGGACAGTTTGGACATTATAACCCGCTGATAAATAAAAAAATTACTAATATTGATTATCGGACAATGAGTTCGCTAAATCATGGTAATTTTCCCTCATAGGAGGGACTGTTGGGCCATTATTTTATTTTCATTAGTTCAGAAATAAAGTGCAGTAAACCTATTTATTAGACCTACACCTGGACATTACATTGAGATCCAATCTAATTTAGGAGAATATACGAATTGAAAAATACTCATTATTGAAAAAGCGTTTATTTTTTGTTAATAAATACCGTGAAGGGCTATGACCTCGTACATAGTTGGCTTGCAGCTAAAATACAAAAGTAATGTTCAGTACATGAAATAATGAGTACATCTACATTTGACAAACACCACGCTGAGTAAATGATGTGCCAGTTAGCCAATACAATGGTATTCGTCACTTCATTCGAATATCCAATTCAACTCGCAAGTAATATTCTGCCATTAACAGCTACATCAGCTTTCTTATATGTTGCGGGTTGAAAGTATTTGGTATGTGATTAAAATTTGCCGTAATCTTTGTTCTCGATGAGAGTGAGTGACAAAACACCGTGCTCCAATGCTGTACCTATTTCCACGTTGTGAAAGGACTATGTGCAGCTTCTCTTGCCATGACGGTGCGCTTGGTTTCATCGTCAACAACATTTACTTCAACAATACATTTACCTCGCAAAAAATCATGGTACACCATATAGAATTATCATTACTGTAGGTTTTATTTATATTTAAATTTATTTCTAAGGCGTAACTATTAAGGGTAACGCTTAACATGAATTATCTTCTAAACGGGAAAAATAAATTTTGTAATTATTCTCACCGTTCGAATTTAAATGCAATCGCTTTTATGTATGATGAGTAATTGAATATTTGTTTTATTGTAGGTATTTATTTTCATTACTCATTACATTCTTGCGGGAACGTATTCAAATATATAGCATGAAATATAACTCATTGTGCAGTGAACAAAGTCGCCATACTGTTTAACTTTACTGCAGACCATGTGCTTCCAAACAATTCAAATACGTTTTCTTGGAGGTGTGATTTACCTTGATTTACCTTGATTTATCTTGATTTACCTTGACATTATTTTCATGTCAATATTTCTATACAATTTAGCAATGTCTTGTAGGTTGTGTAGAAGTTTCAAAATAATAAAGATATTGTAACAAGGAAAAATGAACCTTTTATACCGTAATTACATTTATTTCGACGCGTCGAAGTAATTGTGAACAAGTAACTACTACATTTATTGCAGTGACCTAAACTAAGGAACAAATGTGCATGAAGTGTAAACAACGAATACAGAATGTGAACTCAGTGAAAAACGAGGCAAGTAAGATTTTCAGGAAAAATAAGTTAAGTGGATATATGAAGAGAGAAAAATATATTCCAACCGCTACCTATTAGGAGTGCTGACATCTAGAGACTGAAATTGTAACTGCTTTGAGTAATTGTTTGCGTTGGAGGAAAGATAGGATAAGTGACTGTGCGTATTATTGTGTTTTTTTTATTACTAGAGTACGCAATATCAACTAAAGATAATGGAAAAAGCCTTTTTATACTTGACAGTTCTGAAAAGTGTAGTACATAATAATGCATTAATATTACGTGTAATAATAATGCAATAAAGAAAGATGACAAAAGTAGGAAAATCAAATGGAGGGAAATCAAGCTGATCAGAGCAGAAAAATTAAATTCTTTCGCAATGCTATTTATGCTTCTTAATGAAGAATTAGTATTCACATATCTTTATCTAGTAAAGGTTAAATTTGAAAGAACAGTCAGCACACTTATACTTCATTACTTTGAGTCAATACACCTTAAGAATATGGAGAGGAAAAACCTTAAAGTTTGACTGAAGATGAGACACAGGGCCATCATGGTTTTTATTTATTTTATTTATCTTTTATTTATTTTACATCATAAACCGTTAAAAACGGTGTGCGACGCGCTACGGAGAGAAATGAAATCTGTGCACTTTTCATAATTGATTCCCACTCTAAGCCGTATACTAGTTGGATTTTGTGTGCAGAAAGAAACGGGCGTTTTTTGCAAGAATTGTTCACAAAGTATTTGCTCCGATGAAATAAAATAAATTTTCAATGGTAAATCAGCAACAGATTTTTACTCTTATCCCTCATCATGTTCTTCGTGAAGAAATAATATTCCTGCCGCGACATGGTGAACAATAATTTGAAAAACTATTTCCCGCCGAATTCTAGAAGACGTGTAGAGATAATGAAATAAAATTTATGTTCAGAATCATAACAAGGGACTATCTTAGCATTTGCTTAAAGAATGAGGGAAACTGGACGAAACACCTGATCGAGATGGGGGTCATTGATCCAGAAGCTGAGGTACAATACTTGTTACAGACTTATACAGAACAAATGACAAGTAATACATTACGTATCATTATTAAAATTAATATAACTTTCCTTTTTGATGCTAGGTATGAAATGGGAGAAACTTTTCAATCGATTCAGTCGATTCAATCGATTCAATCTTTTCAGTCGTTGAACGTCATCTGGCAATGTGTTGTAAAATAATGTACACGTATGTGAATTTTTTGTAGTGAGCTGTTGACACTGTCACCTGATGAATATGATTACTTAATCGAGTGTTATACTTATGGACAACGCAGTTTACTGAAATTATATTCCCGCCTCTAAGAGGATAATGTTTGGCAATTCGTAAATCACGAGACAGGGTAACGGTAAAGATCCTAAATTAATAAAGAGAGGCTAACAAGAATCACGTTGGCTTAGGAAACATTTAGAAGTGTCTTATGAAAAAAACAAATGGTTTCGAGAAAAAAATGGTTTTTAGTGGAAATGACCGCTTAATTGAGGTGGCTTCTTTGCAAGTTTCAATGTACTAAGATATATTATTATCGGGAAGATGTGCGTGGTAATTGCCTGTAACCTGACCACATCGATTCCTTTCACTCATAAGTGTTCCATCACCAACTTCTTTAAATCGTACCTTAAATTTTTTTACACGTTCATCTTCTTACGTACTAATGTAGTAAACAAAAATTATTGTTGCTGTAGCAAATAGTGACGATTGTGAGACAAATAAAACGTGTTCTGGGTCCCGAACACCCAAATTGTGGATAATTCTTTCTTCTATATGTAGCAGATTATTTCGTCCAATACTCATATCGACAGAATCCACGTTTTGTGGGTCCTTGATACCTAAAAACCGGTTTACAGTAAAACGTCTCTCTGAACAACCATTATTCGTTTATGATGACTCCAGCGCCCCTGAACTCTACCCAACCCACCGCATCGCCGAGTATTAAGCGCGTCTTCACTGCATACATGTATTTTGCCCCTGCGATTGTGAAATATCGGCGCGAACTATTACTTTAATTTCGAACAATTAAATCAAATTTCTCCAAGGTTTTGTCATAGCGAAAGAATGCCCAAATTTGAGGAAGAACGTTTTAAATACAGGTTACTTGACAACCATGTCCAAACCAGGGCACAGAACACACCCATACTTGCGAGAAATTCTTTCATTTATTAGAATTTTTGCACAACAAAGCGTAAAACGTGATTAACAATCACGTGAGCAGTAAGTGTGTGATGTGAAATATACTACAATAGCGAAGCATTGCCGGATCCTCTAGGAAGAATATAGGAAGAATATTTATTAATTTTTTCGTTAGCAGATCCCGGGAATTAGAGATTTTTGCCGAAAATAGCACAAGCAGAAGGAGGAGGTAGAAGAGAAGGAGGAGAATGAACAGGAAAAGAAATAAGATCGTAGGAGGCAGAAGAGGAGGAGGATGTTGAGGAGGATTTTCCCTCCGATTCTCGATAATTCCAGAACTAGAAATCAGAACACAATTATTTGAAATGTAGTTTTTGCAATACTATTTTTATTGGCTTTTTAATTATATATATTTTTTCAGTGAGATATAGCACATACAAACCCGAAGTATAGTAAGGAAATAATACACAATAGATACATAATTGGGCTGTTTGTCATTGCAGTGTAGGCGCTTCCCGAATTTGGTCTTCTCTCTCTAACCCTGTTATCATCCTACAACCACGTAGTAGACAATGTTTACACATGTATTTGTGTGTAGGACATCCAGCGCTGGATTAGCAATTTAACGATGTTAGCATGATTTTGCAAATATGTAAAATCTTGCCGTAGGTAAATGCAAAATTATTACCAAAGCATTTTACTTTTTCGTACTGTACTACGTATACTACTGCACTATCGCCGAGAAAGTATTATGTTGAATGCATAGAAAAGTGTCAATAATTCGATAAAAAAAATTCTAGGTCCCTGACACAGAAGCATTGGATTTTACCTTCTTGCCAAACTACGCTTTTACGTTGAAAGGAGAATGAATTGTTAAATTGTAGCAAAAATCAGCGATACTTTGACAGAAAACTTGTACAATAGGGCCGTGGTACCAAAGAAGTGAATAATAATTTTTCCTATTTGTAGTAAATTAATTCTTCTTACACATTACAAAGTCATAATCCACATTTTGTGCGATACTGACATAACTTGATACCGACAAATTGGTTGACAAGAATACGCTGGCGGCTAAACTGTAAGCAGAATTTTTACGAACATTGATAATCTCCATATGATCTAGCTCACATCGATGCCCATTGAATTTAAAACAGGTATTTCGATTTTTAGGGATTCTTTACATAAAGTTACAAGAATATTTTCATAATACAAAATATCTTTAAATGTATTCTTTCATTTTTTCTGTGATAAAGCAACGAACGTTTATAAAAATGAGGTAGGTTCAATTTTCGTTGAACTCACTTTTCTTGGATAAACCTCGGAGAAATGGAGATATAATTTGGGACACATTATAAAAACACGCTATAATGAGTAGATTCACATATTAATTTTTTCTTCAGTTTAGAAATATATTCGAATAAACGGATGCCAGAACTCTTAAGTAAAATTTTCCAAAATTTTTCTGTCTCTTGCTTTGCTTCGTTTTTTTGCCTAAGAAAGGGAATACATTAAGGGTGTACTATATGGATCCTACAACCCTGAAATATTTTATGTAAAATATATGGTGTTATAACCTCAGAATGATGTGAAAATGATAATTCACAGAGGAGTCTTGATAATTGCCTTATTTTTCAATTATCGAGTTGGTGGAAATAAAAATACACCCTGATTAATTCAGTTACCTGTATATATGTAACCTATCTTAATATAGCTGATTCAGATTACACTTCCAAGAATTATAATATTAAAATTATATGAAGCATTTCAAAAATTTAAACTAATATCTAACTGAAGACACACTGATAAAAAATATCGGTTTTTTAGTTTTGAGTAAAAATTAGAGAACACTAAGTTAAAAATGTTTATAATTACATTAATAATACTTACATATGTTACAACTCTAATATATGTTTTCCTGCCATTTCGTCGAGAAAATTTGATCAATAAATGGGTTTGTTGTTTCTTTAAATAAATTGCACTTTTCTAATGGGAGGGAAACAGAACGCTATTTGCGGGGCTGGGTTCTCTCGAGATTAAAGTCCATAAATTAACGGACGTATTTACAATGCGTCAGTTCCCCGTACTTAATTACGTGCGCTGCTGTCGACGCGTCTAAAGCGAAGCCCGCAGGACGCGGGCGCGTATGGGCCCCTTTGGGAAAAGCACGGGGCGGGCGACGCCAGAGCACTTCGCTTGCGGGTGGCGCTGCCGAGAGGAGGGTCGACTTCTCTATACAAATGCGACACCATACACTCGTGGAGATTCAGAGGTATGGATCGACCAAGCACAAGTTACTACAGTCATTGAATTCTCCATTCACACAAAAGTAAAACGATGGAAAGTAATTGATGTTTCCGGGCACGTCAACTGCTATGGTTAATACTCCCGTTAGTGAAGTGAATGTTTATCCAGGAAGGTGGCAGTGTTTCCCCTCTGCTGGATGCTGAGATCCAGCGCTTACCTACACGTCGGCTTGCGGAGCATTTCCCCTTTTAGGTATTTCCTTCCAGAGGGGAGCCGCTGCAGGCGGGTCAAGCTTGTAGCTCCCGACAGGTCTCCCGGTATGTGTGGTGGTGTAGTGCATCTAAGTGTAAGTGTGGGTGAGGGGTGATGATAGAAGAAGGAATAATAGGGAAAGATTGCATGCGACATGTGGTCGTTTGTTACTACGACGGCATTCACCTGGTGGTGATCGGAGAAACCAAGAACAACTACCGATCCGAGGATCCTGCCGCTAGAATTCTCCTCCATCCAGCGGCTGAATTCGAACTAGGGCCGATATTCGGCCACCGAAATGTCTCGAATCCTAGGACCACCATGTCAAAATTGCTGCAGAAACAATGGCAATTCTGGCTCTGAGCTATGCTCAGTGGAATTTGAGATGTTTGAATATAGTGAAATGTACCGGTTTTTATGCACAGACTTATCTTCAGCAATGTAATTAGTATAACATATAATGTAAAATTGTATGTATTAAACAACCTATTAACAAGCTTCAAATATAATAAATAATAAATTATGGCAGATAGTTTGTGAATTTTGATTTATTGTTTTAGTGTTATGGGAAACTCAGACGAGAGGAATAATTCCGAAGGAATATTCGAATATGTCAAAATACATAGGGATATCTATTCAACCGATTAAGAAGTTTTTTGTATGGCGCTATTACCCTAAGTAAAAAGTAATAAAATTGAGGTCAGTTGCATATTGAGAATTATTAGAACAGAAATATTTTAAAAATTCATGTCTTATCTTTTATTAACGCCGTCCATTGCCTTTCCCAGGACTTTTTTTCATTATTGATCCTGGTTCGTTTCATTCAGATTTTGCATTTATACACGATTTGTTTGCCGTACAATTTTATTACATATGGATATAACATTTTTTAAATTTTGCCTAAGAATACTACGTATGTAAATAAATTTACGGACTACTAATTTACTGTAATTTAAATTTTAAAGAACTAATATAAGAAAAAATATATAAGTGCATATGTGATAAAAAGCGAAGAAAAAAGGATAAAATACATAACAAAAAAAGAAGGATTTAAACAAAAATTGTTTTAAATTTTTTTTTTAATTTTTAAAAATGGATGAAACCTACCATAATCATATAGTAACATCTTACTACAATACATTATGCGGTCTATCGATCTCGTTCCATATTTCCTTTTGTAATAAGGTGGCTTCCGATACTTCTTTTGTAAATAACTGTAGCGAACTACATTTTATAGAAATAAGGCAAAATTACAGTTAATATTATTTTGACCAAGTCCAATGATTTATTGAGGATATTCTGTAACTGATAAACGAAGAAAGATAGAGCATTTATTGAAATTGAAATGGGATCCTACATTTTTAGGCAAACATGAATTATAGATGTAAACATATGTATTGAGCTGTAGAGGAGGTTCGATCTGAACTGACGCTTCCAATGCACTACGTAGCCAGAATATTGTGTATAAACTAAACACTTAACGTAAAAATGAAGGAATATTTTACTTGACCAATTTCACTGTTTGGCTTGATTTACTTTAAATCTTCAAATTCTTCAAAATGAATTACTTGCTGTTTGGCGAAGAATTTAAAACAGTATTTATCATCAACACCTGCATGTTAATCTTATACAAGTCCTAAATATTCCTGTTTGGGAAATTTGCTACTTATCTACCGTGCATATTTGGCAAAGATTTTTCACATTTTATAAACTCTTTTTATCTTCTTCCACCACTATGAAAAATATTTTCCCAGCAAAGCACGGTATCGTACAATGGTAATGACATTTTACACGCCAATACAAGACAGGCAATACGGCACGAACTGTAGCTTTATATGCATTTAAACCGAATTAGAACTTGCCAGGAACCTGAGCAGGAACTGCCTCCCGCCCTGCTGTGAACAGGGCAACATCGTAACTTGGGGCAACCTATTGCATGAGGGGAGGAGACAGTCACGTGATCCACGTATTCCAGTGCATCTCTCTCTCTCTCTCTCTCTCTCTCTCTCTCTCTGCCATCGAAAAAACATATTGATTAATCATAAAAAATGGTAGCATCGGTAGTGTGAAAGATTAGTACAGAAAATCTATTGCCCTCCTGCCACAACAGCGTGCAGTGGACGTGAGAGCTATTTTTCAGCAAAATCTGCCCGCATTCCCCCACTCCCTCTCGATCACTAAATGACTCTGCGCATGCGCAGGACCTTTGAAACGCAATTTCCAAACACAAATGCGTGCATTAATTCCAATGGAATACCTACCTGAAAATTGAGTACATATTTGTAGACCAACCTGAACAACTTTTAATGTAATTATTGTTTACTACCGTATTCTTGCGAGAAATCTCTCATGTTAAACTCCATGTTACTTATCCTTCGAGTTCCATATTAATCCCACAATATATGTCTTTCTTGAAGATCATCTTACTCTCCGTCACTTGTTCTATAAGTCTTCTTGTAATTGTGCTAACTGAACGTATTTTAACATAACACCGTTGTCCATGCAAACTATTCGTATTTAATTTAATTAACGAACACAGAGGTACATCCATGCAATTCACTCGCGAAAAGCAAGAAATTAGTATAAATTCACTTGCAGTTGCAGAGTGTGCACGCCTCTGAACAGGTGGGGAAGAATCGAGAAGCGCGGAGCCACCAAACGTATGCCCAAGAAGATATCCTATACTTACATGAATATTACGGCACGAGGAACGTTTTTTTGAGGCCTTTGGTTTCAGAATTCCAGGTTTTATGGCCCTAGAATGCTCCGTTTTTGAGTTATATATCTTTAAAGATTTCAACAACTCTGCCCAAGTGCTGCGAGATGCATTTGACATAAATATTTAGATGAGTTTTATTTAACAAATTGTTCATATTTTTAAAGTTAAGTGCAATCCAAGTCTCCGTCCAGTGTTCCTTCTTTAGAGACCTTATTTATAAAGATATGATGCGTGTGGGAACAGCAAATTTCATCTTTACTACTTGGATAAAATTTGTGTTGTTAATGACGCAACAGAAAAAACAAAATTATGAATATCTTAGAGAATACACTGCATGCCATTGATCTGAATCTTTGCCACTTATTCGTCCGTTTGACATACACTTTCAAATCTAATTTTTCTACAATCGTATAAAACCTGAAGGAATATACATCCCGCAACGCGTGTGTGAATTTGGCCTTTACGTAAGGTTTGTTTAATTCTTATTGATATTCTTAGTAAGATGTTGCGTTTCTACATTGAAATGTGCCCCGTGTTTCCTTCTGCTGTGTTTCCCGCAGTAAAACATCAGTATAATGTACGCTTCAATATTGTAAACATTTATATGTGTTATAATCTGGTTGGGTCGACTTCTCCGAAAAGTCCGCTAATTATCCGCATGAATACAACAGATAAGTCTAAAAGTTTCGGTTTCCCGCGCTTTCAGTTCAGCTGACGTAAAAAATAAAATTTACCTCGAAACCTTAAAAAATTGTGAAGGAAGTAAGATTTTAGACATCAACCTCATTTTCAGACATTCTTTTTTCCACAGCCAGAATGCGTACATGCTTTCATTTCAAATACACGCTTCAAATGAAATTATATTTCACTTATACTTTATTGCTTTTTATTGCCTTTGATGCTCTATTTACAATCCATAATATCCATGGATTGATAAGATTGTGATTACGAGGGAAATATGAAAACAGTTCAATTACGCTAGATTTCCTCTTCTTGAGGGAATATGTGCCAAAATTTGACGGTCTTTTTGTCACCGTCTTTAGAACCGTTATAACGCCCTTGGTGTATTCATAACCATTAGGGAAACGTTGCTTAATTTGGACCGATTTTTTACTTTTAATTTCCATTTTCTCAATAAAAATTTTATTAAAAGAAAATATATGTCAAAACAATCTACAATCAATGAACTTTCAATGTAAAATATATTTTAAATATAATACATTGGTCCTAAAAGGAGGAATGAGGAAAAACGAAAAGTGAGTATTCCGAATTGAGATACTGGTTGCGTTTGAAATCTTAGTCTCAAGATGGATCGCAAAAAATATGCACGAGTGATTTTAAGCAAATAGGAAAAACAAGACTGATTTTCGAATATAACTTCAAAACATTATGGTGTAACTTAGGGAAATTTCTGTGGTCCAAAATAGGCAGTGTCCAAAAATAAGAACAAAATCACGCTGTACAACTACATCAAGGTGAAAATTAGTTTTACTATGGAAGCTAATGAAGTAGTGCAGTGATAACTGTAGCATAAATGGTGCAATTACTTATTCGCATTACGCCCTGAGGAAGGTCGCAGAATGGCGACCGAAACGTCGGCACCTTCGCCATGGACGCGGCGTCACCCGGACAGCCTAGTAAATAATTACTCATTCCGTTTGTGCACAATGGCTTACGATATATATCACACAGAAGCAGTTAGAGACTTTTCGAAAACTCTGTAACACTGCTGATTAAAATGACTGGTATTGTGTAAAAATATCATAAGACCGTCTACAAGGCTTAGAGACAACTAGTTTTATCCAAGTCTCAAATGCATTCTATGCATACTTAAATGGCGACGGTCCCAATTCGGCAACATTCCCTTACACACAGTACAGTCACCACAGCGATAAAGTTATTTATAAAAATTAAATAAGATAATTTTCGCGCATCTCTTAGGGTTATACCCGTTGAAAGAGAATATATTACGAAGATAAAAATAAGTGTTATTGGAAAATAAGGAAATGATGAATTTCGGTTAAAATTAAAATG